TTCTCTTTTGTAGAAAGGGGATAATAAAAGTACCCATTTCATGATGATGATGTGAGATTAAATGATTTAATATTAAGCATGAACACTGTTTGCCACATAGTAAATACAATACCAGCATTTGCCAAATTAATAAAAGTGATTTTCGTCTTTGTTATTTGTTGTTGTTTTTCCTTCTGGAATCAGGACATCCTCTCTTGTACTCATTCTGGCAGAGAACTTGATGCCTGTAGTTGTTAGGTCAACATCTTAAAAGAAACTAGATCTTCATTTCCCCTAGAGTATCATCTTTATGAATGGTAATTATGCCCCAGCAGAGAGTAGGTGATTGTCTGCCTGGAATGATACAGGAGCAAACTTTTCATTAGTGGCAAGAAAAGCAGACTAAATATCCTTGCAGCCTGAGTCTGCTTTGTTCTTGCATGTCTAGTCTTTTCATTGCAGGTGGCATGTTTTTCTAATTTAACGGGTCCCACCTGATGAAGCAAAGCACCATGTTTGTGTGTGATTAATATGAAGTTGGCATACTCTTGTCTACCATAACCTTTCCAGCTGAATTAGGGAATGGCAGGTTAGCTCTGAAGCCCTGGGAGTTAAAGCCAATTTGTCATGCTGAGAAGACAAAGCAGGTGCTTAGGGAAAGATCAACCAGTGACCCTCTGTTGCTGACTGGTACAGCTTTTATTCACCACATGAGTTTACACTTGAGCACTACTCTGACACCTGCCAGCCCCACCCAGTTTCCTAAAGACATGGACATTTTGTTATCTTCAGATTAATTTTTGGAGAACATTATTTATGTCTTTTTAGGTCCTTAGCTCAGACACACCTTTTGGATGGCCTTTTATTATTATTGCCAAACTAAGCTTCTAACCTTGGAAACACATCATAAGGGCTTCTTAGATGAAAGTTACATTTGAATGCTTGGAGAAGGATCAAAGTCATCTTTAAATGTGTACATCTTCAGTACTTTGTGAAGCTTTGCCCATAAAATGGACCAAGTGGTGCCTTTTTTCCAGTGACTGCCCTTCTGGGATGACTCCGTTCATTTCAATCTGTCTTACCTTCTCCTTGGAAAATGTAACTTCCCGCAGAGTGCAGACAAGATAAAGTAATTCCTGGCTGGTGTCAGATCTTCAGACTCTTTGTGCCTTCCGCTGGCAGCCAGACCCTTGACGTGAAGTGCCCAAATGATGCAATTGCCTTGCATTCCCTCAAATGCCCTGAAGTGGAAGAATGTGACATTCTGCTATCACTTGCTAATGGCTTTCTTGGGTCATGGAGGAAGACAGCTACCAGAGCCTGCAGTCTGTCAGGAAAAGGCAGCTTCTTGGAGGCATCCAAACTACTGCTGGGGAGTTTGGTTGACTCTGTGTTGTAGTTCCAGAGATCTGTCTCCTTTTTTTGGAAAGATAGTACTTTTTCCAGGCAAGCTTCTGTCTAGATAATATACTAGTGCTGTCCTGACAGGGGCCAGGGCTTCCCAGCTCCAGGCTGCAGAGACTTTCTAAAAGTGTCCATTCCCATTTTCTTTCTTTCTTCCTTTTTCCTTTCCTTTCCTTTCCTTCTTTTTTATTAAATCATAGCTGTGTACATTAATACCATCATGGGGTACAGTGTGTTGTCTCTATATACAGTTTAAAATACTTTCATCCATATGATTAACATAGCCTTCATGTTATTTTCTTAGTTATTGTGTTAAGACATTTATATTCTACATTTAGAAAGACTCACATGGGCTCGGTGCCTATAGCTCAACCAGCTAAGGCGCCAGCCACGTACACCTAAGGTGGTGGGTTCAAATCCCCAGCCCGGACCCGCCAAA